TTTTCCCTTTTTCGTTCATAAATTGATCACCAACGGATGCCCTGCTCCGACACCCTATTTATAACTTGATCAACCTGAGGAGCGGTGCCTCTTCCCTTTTTCGTTCATATATTGATCACCAAGGGATGCGCTACTGTGAGACCGGATTCATATATTCATCAAGCTGAGTTGCGCTGCCTCTTCCCTTTTTTGTTCATAAATTGATCACCTACGGATGCGTCGCTGTTAGAATCTGTTTATTAACTGATGAACCTGCGGTGCGCTCCCTCTCCCCTTTTTGTTCATAAATTGATCACCACCAGATGCACTGTTGTGATACCCTATTGAATAATTGATCAGGGTGGGTGTTTGTGGGTGTTGGTGTTGGATTTAAGTCTTTGTCTTCGTCTACACCTACAGGCACAGTCACACATGCAATCTTCCATTGATTTACAGAGCGAATTAGTCGAGACATTATCGCTTTTTCCATTGTGTTTTATAAAAATGTTTATTTTCATTTTAAATCACGTGTGTGTTGTGCAATTACATATGTGTTGTTCTTTATTCTTCACCGCGATCATATGCAGCATAGAACAAGTCGTAATATTTCCGGTGAACGTGTTTTTAATGTGTTGGGTTAAAAATAACTGGAATTTCTAGAACACAGGTATATTAAGCGCACCAATGGGCGGCTATTTAATGTAGAATTATGAGAAATGATAAAAAGTCAACTGATTATATACGGATAGGTTACATGTTTCAATGCAATCAGAAAAAGGCTTTAATTGAGATTGAAATTTTACCAAAGAGAAATAGTGAAATTTTTTTGTAAACATATCGTTGGTTTGGCTGTTCGATGAAAGTATTGGTAGCTATCAGTTGCTTCTAAACAAGTTGAAATTGTCAAAAAAAGACATCGTAGTAGTTCAATGACTTGTAAAAAGGTGCTGTTAATTCAATAAATCTCTGTTAAATATAAAAACAGTTTCTTAACTGAACAATAGTAGATTAAATACTGAACATTTTTAAATTAATTTAATAAGTACTTTTAAACTAACTACTGTAAAAAATAAGGAAAATGTTCTTCAGAA